GATTCAATTTTGATATTTGATATTTGATGATTTGATTTTGATTTGATGTTTGATGAATTTGATGGCTTTGATATTTGATTATTTGATGATTTGATAATTTTGATATTTGATGAATTTGATGATTTGATTTTTATTTTGATATTTGATATTTGATGATTTGAATTTGATGACTTTGATATTTGATTATTTCATGATTTGATGACTTTGATATTTAATATTTAATGATTTGAATTTGATGAATTTGATATTTGATTATTTGATGATTTGATAATTTTGATATTTGATGAATTTGATGATTTAATTTTGATATTTGATATTTGATGATTTGATCTTGATTTGATATTTGATTTTTTGAAGTTTTTATATTTGATGACTTTGATATTTGATTATTTGACAATTTTTATGAATTTGATACTTTTGATCTTTGATGATGGTATTTGATATTTTTTTTTTTTTATTTTTGGATTTTATTTATTGTTATTGTCATTTTTTTGGAAGAATGTTACGGGTGCAAAACCTTAGAAGAGGGGTGAAGTCAAGGTTAACTCCGTCCAGTCATGAGACCTTATGTAACCTTGATCTAACTTTAGTCTTGTTGTAATTCTCGGAATTAGGAGGTATATCAAACACTGAAATAAGGTCTTTTAGAGAACTAGACTTTTCATTCATACGAATAGGGGAGAGAACCTATTAACGTTAGGATTCCCCAATCTATTGATAAGCTGGACCCCTCCCCTTTTTCTTTTTTATTTTTCTTTCATTTTTCTTTTTCCTTTTTTTGCCCTCAATGCCCTAATCTGGGTTTTTACCGAGCCTAGGTGTCGCCTAATTGTTGCGCATCGGAGCCATTGCTGGTTTTCATCCAGGCTAACGAAATTTGATCTTGCCACAACTGATGCTTTTACTCAGAGTGCCCTTTTGGGTTTTCACTCTGCCCATTCAAGACGCGCGATTAATTGTTACTTCTCTCCACTCACTCCTTCTCCCATCATTGCCACAAGGGGATGGGAAGATGCTTTCTCTATCATCTGATTCTATGTTCCTATTTTTATCTTTGATTAGGGAGGTCTTACTAATAGGGCGTAATGTGGCTAAGGCTCTAGGGTAGGTGGGCTCATGGTTTATTAGGAAGCTGAAATTCTTAAAACCCTTTTCTTCCTTTTTTTTTTCTATATCTCTCCATCTCTCTTTTCTTTTTCTCCATCATCATTTTTCCTTTTCTTCATCTCTCTCTCTCTCTCACTCTGCCCTTCTTCCCTTTTTCATTTGTTTTGCACTACCTTTGAGGAGTGCTAGTATCCGAATATTGGGACATTCAAGGAAAAGGTGACAAAGCTCAACTATCTAACTAGTGAGTTATTATAATCGTACTGGACAAAGGAAAGGTATTAAAAAATAGCCAAAGATGGCCTCCCTTCATTTCATTGATAAAAATATATACATGGAATGGATTACAAATTAAGCAAAGTACATTTTCACTTGATCTAAGTTGACTAGCTCTGGGAGGTCTTCATCATCCATTCTACTGAGTATTAATACTCCTCTAGATAACCTCTTTTTAACAATGTAAGGGCCTTTATAGGTGGGAGTGAACTTGCCCCTTGTCTCTAGCTGATTCGGAATGGTTCTTCTGAGCACTAATTCACCTAGTTGCATGTCTCAGGGTTGTACCCTCTTGTTGCATGCACGTGCCATTCGCCTTTGATAAGCTTGAGTGTGGGCCGTAGCTCTTAATTGTGCTTCATCTATGAATGCAAACTACTCATAACGTTCTTGGACCCAATTTGTCTTTGGGATCTTTGACTCTAATATCACATGCAAAGATGTCACTTCAACTTCCACTGGTAGGACTGCCTCCATGTCATACACCAAAGAGTATGGTAACATGTCTTGCCAAGACTTGTAGGTAAGAGACATCTTCTTTATAATTTTTTTGATGTTTTTGTTTGCAGCCTCTACTACTCCATTCATTTGTAGTTGATAAGGGGATGAACACAATTGCTTAATCTTGAAATGATTGTAGAGGGTTGTGACTGATAGCTATAAATATATAACCCTAGCAAGTGCACTAGTTATCAAGTAGTATAAAAATATTGTTCCCATGGGGATTTAACAAAATAAGTATTAGACCCACAGTCTTTCCTAATTAATTGGACAATCGAAATTCAGATTTGAGCAAGAACTACTGGAAATAAAAACTAGAAAAAGAAAATAGAAGCAAGGGTGATCACTAACCSAATATGCAATGGATGAAATCGCTAGGACTTTTAGGTCCACCTAACCAATGTAATGAATATTAATGGATTCGATTAACCAAGATTATTTGCCTCTCCCACAAGCTGAGGTCTTTCCAATTTTATTTAATATTCTCTCTCAAGATATACTAAAACTACGTCCATCAGGTAACCCTTTGATCTCTCGAGTAGAGCTCTCAAGATGGAAACGCATTAAGTCCAAGAAAAACCATTAAGTTCAGATGAATCATGTATATATATCTCTATATACCATTCAWWTCACAYTATGAATTATTCAGTCGATTATGTGAATTCCTCTCTCGATTCATTCACATAACACAAATCGATTAAGAGGTGGCCAAGCTCTTAATTGCATTAAGCACAATAATTCATAGACTATATGAAAATCACAATCTTGGTTAAATCACAGAGATAAAAATATATTCATTAACATGGTTAGGCTTTCCACAGTCCTAGCAAGAAACAAATCAGTTCATGATAAAAGAATTAAGGCAAACAAAGGGAAAGAAAGAACTCTTGAGTTCGCCCATGGTGTTGAGATATCCTCTTCTTGTCGCCACCTTCTTCTTGAAGTTTCTTGAATTCTTGATCCTTTTTTGACTGATTGCAACTTGCTTCTTGATTCAATCCCCAAGATTGAGTGATGCCTCAAGTTAGTCCACCCCCCCCCCCCCTTTATATAGCTTAAAGGGGAGGGGGTGGTCTCCTACTTCCTCTTGAAGTTTATCTTACAAGAATAGAAAGTCCTATTCTAATCCTACTCTTATCTCTTTATCTAATGAACTCAATCMYTTTATCTTTCTAAGATTACATCAAGAATTTAGATCTGGAAGGACTCCTCTCAGTTTCTTGTTATTGGATTCCTATTAAACCTCCTCTGTGAATTGGACTTCAGCCAGGCTTTTCTGCAAGTTGGGCTTCAACTGCGGATTGGGCCTTCCTATGAATTTATCTTGACTTCGGGCCTGGATTTGACTTCGATGCAGGCCGAATCTGTGAAAGCCCAAAACATGAACATTGTGACTTTTTCTCTTATCTTTCCAGTGGGTCTTGAATCAGCCCAATTGGAGTTCGGATACGCGAGTTAGGCCCAGATTACTGAACGATGTCGAAACTGTAAAAAATCATCCGATTTGTCTTTCTTTGCTCCTGATGTCTTCTTTCATGGCCTGAACCGAAATACTAGAAATATGAGCCTAATTAAGTACTAATTCAGTATAAAAGACAGAATAATTGGGGATAAAAATATGATAAATTCTATTCTCATCAGTGATTTCCTTTCCAACGAATTTTTTTCCATTATCTAAGATGATCTCACATGGTAATCCATATCTAGAAATTATGTTGCTCTTGATGAATTGAACTATCTTGGTCATTGTTGGGCGGGCTATGGACATTGCTTCTACCCACTTAGTAAAATAATCAATAGTGACCAAGATGAACTTATGCTCATTTGTTGTAGGTTGCAATGGACCGACCATGTCAATTCCCCATACGGAGAAAGGCCAAGGTGTAGTGAAACAATATAGCTCTGAGAGATGTGCATTTATCTTTTGATCAAAGACTTGAAAAGCGTGACATTTCTACACATGTCAACAACAATCTTCATCCATTGTCATCCAATAAAATCCCATTCGGAGCAACTTTTAGCTAACATATGCCCATTCATGTGAGGGACACGTATGCCACCATGTACCTCCTCCATCTTTTTTTGTGCTTTTTCTTCATCTAAACATCTCAACCAAGGTAATCTTGGGGGCTTTCGATACAATATTCCTCATGCTATGACGAAATGCCCTGCAACCTAGTTATAGTTCTTCTCACCTTAGGATCTGCCCCTTCTAGGAATACTTGGTGCTCCAAGAAATTTTTGATGTCATAGAACCATGGTTTACCATCTGACTCTTCATCTTCTGTTGTGATTGCTAGTATGCTACTCATCTAGGCGGGCTCACTATCCCAACTTAAATCAATTGGTACTACCGCCATGTTGGGAGGTAAGTGCATGGTTGATCCAAGGGAGGATAAAGCATCCGCAAAATGGTTGTCTTCTCTAGGCAGGTATTTGAAGGAGATGCACTTAAACTTTTTGATAAACTCCTTAAGACAATTATAATACAATTCTAGTCGCTCATCTCGTACTTCCCAATCAACCTTGGCTTGACTAATGACGAAGAAAGAGTCCCCATAAGTTTTTAATTCATCGATGCCCCAGTCTAGTGCCATTCGGACTAATCTTAGGCATGCTTCCCATTCACATGTATTATTGTTGTGTGAGTGCCGTGGGGGTTCACCCAGATCATGCTTGCTCCCCATCCACTTTGGTTTGATGCTCCATCAAAGTATGCCTTCCACCTTTTCCCCACTTGTATTTCCAAAATGGTTTCATTTAGGAAACTTGTTGGAACTGCCTCATACTCTGAGGTGGGGTTATCAGCTAAATGATTTGCAATGGCTTGCCCTTTGATTGCCCTTTGAGTTATATACTTGATGTCATATTAAGAAATGAGCATGATCCAATGAGAGACTTGACTGGTAACCGCAGGTCTCTTGAACAATTACTTGATGAGGTCCATTTTAGAAATGAGAAACACCAAATGAGCTAACAGGTAATGATGTAGCTTTTGATAGGCCCAAACGAGGGCTAGACATGTTTTTCTCTAGCATAGTGTACCTTGTCTCATAGTCATAGAACTTCCGACTTAGATAGTAAATGGTTCTTTCCTTTTTAACCATCTCATCATGTTACCCCAGTATGCATCCAACAAAATCTTCCTGTACTGACAAATACATAAGCAAGGGTTCCCCAAGACTAGGGGGAGCTAATACTGGTGGATTGGTCAAGTACTCTTTAATTTTGTCAAATGCTTCTTGACAGTCTTCATTCCATTTCACCGAGGTATTCTTCTTTAGCAACTTGAAAATTGGCTCACATATTGGTGTAAGTTGCGCTATGAATCTAAGAATATATTGCAATCTTCCCAAAAAACTTATGACTTCCTTTTCTGCTTGGGGAGGAGATATCCCAATAATTGCTTTAACCTTAGCAGGGTCAATCTCAATCCCTTTTTGACTAACGATAAAGCCCAACAGCATACCTGATGATGCCCCGAATATGCATTTTTGGGGATTTAACTTAAGGCAGAATTTCCTAAGTCTTTCAAAGAGCTTCCTAAGGTCCTTTAAATGATTCTCTACCTTTTTGGACTTGGCAATTATGTCATCCACGTATACCTTCAATTCTCTATGTATGATGTCATGAAAAAGCGTTGCCATTGCTCTCTAATAAGTTGCCCTAGCATTCTTAAGCCTAAGCATGACCTTGTAGCAAAAGGTTCCCCATGGTGTTATGAAGGTCGTCTTTTCTTTGTCCTCCTCTGCCATTTTAATCTGGTTATACCTTGAAAATCCATCCATGAAAGAGAAAATTTCATGTCTTTCCATGTCATCAACAAGAATGTCAATGTTTGGTAAGGGGAAATCATCCTTGGAACTAGCTTTGTTTAAATCTTGAAAATCCACGCACACCTAACCTTCCCATCCTTTTTAGGCACTAGTACAACGTTGGCTAACTACTTAGGATAGGTTACCACTTCTAGAAATCCTGCTTCAAAATGCTTTTTCACCTCTTATGGAATTTTCAGAGACCACTTTGGATGGAGCTTCCTAAGCTTTTGCTTTACTAGCTTTGCATTGGGATATATGAGAATTTTATGTACCACTAAGTTTGTGCCTAATCCTGGCATGTCTTTGTAGAACCATGCAAACACATCCCTAAATTCTTTCAATAATTTTATCAAGTCAAGTCTCTGCTTTGGGATTAAATGGCTCCCAATTTTTACCAACTTTGGATCATCATTAGTTCTAAGATTAACTTCTTTTGAGTCAATTTATAGTCTTCTTTCCTCTTGTCATTCAATTTGATTGAGGATATTTTGAGGGATTTCTTCCTTAGGAGGTTCTTCCTCTATCCCCATGAGAGAAAATTCTAACTCATGGTCGAAGTCATAGGCTTGTGAGATGGGTTTGGGTTCCTGTAAGATCAAAAGGAGGAGTAAACTTGGGAATTGGAACTAGACAAAAAGGAGATTTTTCAAAAGAGTAGCTGGGCCCATGCTATGAACCAAGGCTGTTTACGTACTTTTGAGGGGGATCGGGCCAATTGTAGTACAAACAAAAGGATTTTCATTTCATTGGGATCAAAGGAGTACAAAAACTGCTTTCAGGACTGAGACACAGGGTAGAAAGCATTGACCCCCTGGTCCAAGAATTACAGCTTAACAAACCTCCAGAGAAGGGGCCTCTAGGCCCATGGTAGTTGGAGAAGACATCCAGTTACGAACAGGCTCTCATAAAGGGACAATTGACTAGTTAGGGTCTTCCATGAATTTGTCTCCTATCGCACATACATCTCCATTCAAGGCTTCCCAAATGGCACAATCCTTGAGCTCATCACTTATCTCCAGTGCATGCAATAGGGATTTCCACCTTGTCCCAATCGATGGGACAACATGGGCATATAGATTACCACAATCTCCTTTTCCTCCTGGGCCTTTGATGATGTGTCAGTGTCCTTTTGATCATCTTGGTCTTCAAGAAAAAGTAGTGAAATGTCTGGGATGTCAAGGGGGGTTTTAGGGCTGGCTTGAGGGGTTGGTGATGGTTCAGGCATGGTTGCTGGGTTATTGGGTTTGACAAAATGCAGTGGTATTGAGAGAGGTACACCTTTCTTCTTCCCACCTCGTGGGCCAAATAGGTCATGCTTATCAGGTTTATAGCCTACTCCAAAATGAGGAGAGATCCCTTGGCCTTAACAGGGTTCAATCTCCCTTTTTGCTTAATACCTAACCCTTTGCCAGGGTCAAACTTCATATGAACCATCATTCAGAGGGGTAGTGCTATCCTCCCTTGAACTTTCTTTGCCTCTTGAACCTTATCGATGGAATTCACTTCTTCAAACTAGTAAGAGAAGGAAAATAGACCTTCCTTCAAGTGTTGAACTGATGATTCTGTAGCTGGTGCAATCTGACTGTCCCCCAGGATTATAATGAGTTCATTATCATGGACCAACTTTAGTCTTTGGTAGAGGGAAGATGGCATGGCTCCAGTGATGGGATGGAAGATCCACCATATGGATGGCCAAAGCATGCAGGGTGGTTGGGCGGAATTTCAAAAATTTCTTTCTCCCATCCGGGAATCTTATTCCCTAATTTAGAAAAACTGCATTTTTCAAGGTTCGTTCTTGAAACAAACCGAACCAAATCTGAAACCAAGATTAGGGAGAGGAATACCTAATACAAAACCCACAAAAAAAGCACCTCCCAACATAGGTTTTCATGCCCAAAGAGAGTACCAAATCCTTCCTCCACTGAAGATGACACAGCTTAGCATGAGGTAGGATCAACAAGTGGTTCTTCAGAAAGAACCTCAGATTCTTCAGCAAGAATCGAACATGGTAGTGGGCACAGCTTCAAGATTGTTTCTTCCACCAAGAAACAATATCAACATCCAATCTTGATCACTCCAATAGGTGGAGATCAAACAGGGTAGGGTGGCAAGAACAAAGAGAGAGAACTGGAAGCAGAAAGCAGTAGAACTGTGTATCTCTATTCCAGTTCGCCCTCCTCCTTTATATAAGCCATAAAGAGTCAATCTCCTAATCTGATTAGGAGTTTTTTTATGCAAATATTTATTTAGATCTGAACTCTTTAAGTGATAAGGATAATCCCTTATCTTATCTGCAAATCAAGATCAACTACTCCCAATAAAATTAAAAGTTTCCTGATCCAAATCTCTATTTGGATCTAGACTCTTTAAGTGGATAAGAGTTATCCTCTTATCCTTATCTGCTAATCCATACCAAGATTCGCCCCTTATTTAATTACTCCAATTAACCTAATTCGAAATGGGCTTTAGAACCATTAAGCTTTTAGGCTCACTTCCTTTTAATGCTGGCTAGCTTGTCTCTCTTTGTATGGCGTTGGACCTTATCATTGATCTCCACATAAGCCACATGGGTTCAGCCTAGCCTCTGTTACAAGGCCTGGCTGAATTCGTTGCTGAATACAGTGAACCCCTGAGTCCATCAGTATGGGCTCTTAATGGGCCCAACATTTACACTAAATGGTCCTTAGGTCCAACCATCTTATGAAGGCCCAATGACTGTGGGCAGATGTGAGATTAGTCAATCAGGTTTATTATCCCTAAATGGTCTTACACTTAACCTCTCAGCCCTTAATGATCAAACACTGCCCGACAAGAGAGGACCTCTCCCTCGGTTGCAAGGTACAATGTTGCACTCTCTGCTTACATGGATCCCGAGAATTAAAACCTTTTGCAAAAATTTTGTGAAACCATAATATATAAGTATATCTCTATATAAATTTATTTTGCAAAACAAATCTCAACAAGTTTGAAATCAACTGCTAACAGTTTATGTTTCTATCAGAGAGAGTGCATTCCCTGATCATTCACTTTGTCCGACAAAGGGGCTGATCCAATCACTATGATCTCCCACTCAGGTGAATTCTCGGACTATCCCAACATACCCCGGTTTTAACCCCCTCTAAGGATCTCACTGGTTGCCATATCAAAGACAACCCAATCCAACACCTAGTGCAGTACCATAATCGAGTCTAGGGGCAGGTGTAACATTCCAGTTTTTCCCATCTGTCACCAAGGTCCAAGGAAATATTGGAATTTGGTCCAGTTCAGGGTTTTAAGAAAACCCACACTGCATATACCTCAAGTCTCACATTGGAAGATGAGACAAGCCACCCCAACCAACTTGGTGGCACATCAGTGTAAGCCTTGGCAGGATAAATCTCCCCAGATCTATCCAACGATTGTAAAGATTCTAAACTAACAAAAGTCTCATAAATGTCCAATTTAAGGGTTTTACATAGAAACATACCAAAATAACATGAATCAATTATGCACTTTATTCATTTACATTAAATAATAATAAGTACATCAATTTGATTGGAGCTAAGGGCATACACTATCTAACAACTCCCACTTGCACTTAGGTCCAATCGAGTACAAGAGTTTAGACCTTGTTGGCCTCCATCGAATCCATCTTGTCTTTCATGGCGTCTACCCACTTCAAGGAATCTATGTCCAACATAGCTTCCGCATAAGTCACGAGATCTTCTTCACTGGTCGTGGTTTCCACCAAATAACTTTCTTGGTCATAGCCGTAACGAACTGGAGGCCTGGATACCCGGGTAGACCTTCTAGGTTGGTTATTATCTAGAGCTTATGGGACATCTCCCACTACCCCTAAGCTCTCCTCATCAAGAACAACTTTTGGTGATGATTGTTTAGGATGTAATCTTCTACTAAGAAATGGGCATTTCGACTGCAAAACACCTATTGCTCTTTTGGGTCATAGAATAAACATCCTATAGAGCCTTTAGGGTAGTCTACAAATAGGCAATGACTAGTCTTGGGTTCCAATTTGTTAGCACTTGTTCTTTTAACATGTGCTGGACAACCCCAAATCTTAAAGTGTATTACACTTGATTTCTTACTGGTCCATAGCTCATATGGAGTCTTAGGAACGGATTTGGTTGGAACTCAGTTCAACACGTATATCGTAGTCTCTAATGTGTATCCCCAAAAAGATGTAGGTAGCTCCAAGTGTACGAGAAGTGATCGGACCATATCCAATAGAGTCTAGTTCCTCCTCTTTGACACACCATTTAATTGTGGTGTAGTTGGAGGARCTAATTGTGAAACAATCTCATTGTCCCTTAAGTAGTCCCTGAATTCATCGGAGAGATATTCACCTCCTCGATCTGATCAAAGGGCTTTGATCTGTCTCCCCAACTATTTCTTGACTTCTTGCCTAAACTCTTTGAACATTTCAAAGGATTCAGACTTATGTCTCATTAGGTACACGTAAACATACCGTGAATGATCATCGGTAAATGTTATGAAATAAATGTGCTGGGTACGTGTCCTAACATTCAGCGGACCACATACCTCAGTATGTATTAGGTTAAGTGTGCTTGTAGATCTTTCAAGTTTACCTGTAAATGGCCATTTTTTCATCTTACCCTGAAGGCAAGGTTCACAGGTTATAAAATCTTCTACAGTTAGAAAATTGAAAGGACCATCCTTTGCCAACCTTGTGATACAGTCTATGTTAATGTGGCCAAGTCGGTAATGCCATAGGCACATGGGATTAACCGTTTCACGTGTTCTCTTCTTGGGGATTATTTCTGACGTAGTTTTGGTTATGTTTGTTTCCAGAGAAGAATGGAGAACATAGA